TTTTTAAAAAATTAAATTTCCATGAAAAATGTTATTATTTGTGAAAGTAATTGAATTATTCTGAAGAACTGTATAAATATCTTGTTAAATAATTGATTTTTTCGAATTTTTGTTAAAAATGCTATTTTAAATTAATTGAATTCTTGTGGAAATTTTATTATTTATGAAAATAATTGAGTTTTGGATGAATTTTATTAAAAATTTTTTTAAATAATTGAATTCTTTTTGGGAAATTTTATGGAAATACTAGACATTGAATATAATTGAATTTCGAATATTTTTTGAAAATAATTGAATCGTTTTTAAGAATTAGATTATAGTTTTTTTAATTCTAGCATTATCGAATTTAAAGTAGTGAAAATTCTAAAAAAAAACAGAAATAGTAGCTTTTAGTGGCTGAAATCTGAAAAAAGTACCCAAATAGTGGCATAACGTGAAAAAAGTAGTAAATAGTAGGTTTTAGTAGATAATTGCAAAGCCTGTAAGTGAAGTACTTATACTTCACTTACTTCCCTTTCACTTCACTTGAAATCGAAGTGATGTGAAATCGAGATGAAGTGAAAGTTAGGTGAAGTGAAGTGAAGTGAAAGTAAAATTACAAAATAGCACCCCAGATACTCAATTTTGCATTATATCTGCAGAATACGTCAGCAATTAAATTTTCTAATATGAAAAAACTCTACTCGAACATTCTAACATTAAATTTTATTTTATTACCCCCATTCTCTTTTCAATAAGAAATAATTTAATCCTCTACTACCACCACCACTTTTTTTTCCTCATTTCTTTATAGCACCCTTTTTTAAGAGAAAATTTCTCTCAATTTCAATTAAAAAAAAAAGAAAAGAAAATGACACTTACTTGAAGAAAAAAACGACGAATGAAAGAAACTAATCCTTACGATCGACACTTTCATTTTTTTTGCTCAAAAAACCAATGTAATAAAATACTGTGAGTGTCATTCAGAAAAGGGGGAAAGCTTTAAAATAATTAGTCATTAATGAGCAAAAGAATTGGACCTTTCAGAAGAGAGATAGGGTCAACAAGAAAAGACTAGACTGTAAGCGGCCAAGTCTTAACGAAAAAAAAAAGAAAAAAAAAAAGGAAAAAATTGTGGAAAGAGTGGGAGTCAAAAGGGTGTGGGGTGGAGGGGGCGGAGGTCTTCAGGGTAGTGAGAACCTTTCTACAGAATCTCAAGAGTAACGAGCTTTTTCTTCGAAAGCTTCTTAAGAGCACCGCCTTAGCACGGCTCGAAGATTTGACTCTAGTTCAAACGGCCAACGTGAAAGCGAAGGAGCCCAAGGGAAAAAGGGGATGCTAAAATATAAGTCGAAGAGAGTGAGAGAAAGAGAAAGAGTGAGAGAAAGAGCAAAAAAAGGAGGGGGGAAAGGAACAGCGAGAAAAAAAGAAAATTTCTACTACTACTACTATTATTACTGCTACTAAAAAAAAAAAAAAATACACGAGTCGTGCTTGACTTTTCATTGCGTCTTAACTTTTATTCTCCGTTTCACTTACGTTCGCTATATTTCTTTAAAGAAAAGAAAAAATGTTCCATTATTACTGGTCTTTACAGTTCGTTTCCAATTTATTAAAATTGAAAATCAATAATTTTTTCCGACAATTTGATTCGTGGCTTTCATAGAATATTTTTATTTTATTTATTTTTTTATTATTGAAATTATTAACAGTATTTTATTATTATTAATATTTATGTAATTATTATTGTTATTTTTATTATTATCCTTTCAGTAGTTGAAATCGATTAATTTAATACATCGGCAGATGTAATTTGTTACTATTACTATTTTTCTTATCCTTTCAGTAGTTGAGGTCAATCATTAGGCAGACATATTTATTATTATTATCTTTTCAGTAGTTAAAGTAAATTATTAGTCAGACATATTTATTATTATTACTATTTATATTTTCAGTAGTCGAAGTAAATTATTAGTCAGACATATTCATTATTATTATCTTTTCAGTAGTTTAAGTCAATTATTAGTCGGACGTAGCTTTTTATTATTATTAAATTTTTATTTTTATCCTTTCAGTAGTTGAAGTAAATCATTAGTCGGACGTAGCCTTTCATTATTATTATTTTTTTTTATCCTTTAGTAGTTAAAGTCAAATATTAGTTAGACATATTTATTATTATTACTATTATATTTTCAGTAGTCGAAGTAAATTATTAGTCAGACGTATATTTATTATTATTATTATTACTATTATTATTATTATTATATTTTCAGTAGTCAAAGTAAATTATAAGTCAGACGAATTTTATTATTTTTCAGTAGTTTAAGTCAATTATTATTCGGAAGTAGCCTTTCATTATTATTTTTTTGTTTTATCCTTTAGTAGTCGAAGTAAATTATAAGTCAGACGTATATTTTATTACTATTATATTTTCAGTAGTCAAAGTAAATTATTAGTCAGACATATATTATTATATTTTTATTATTATTATCATATTTCAGTAGTTGAAGTTAATTATTAGTTGGACGTTGCCTTCTTATTATTTTTACTATCCTTTCATTAGTTGAAGTAAATCATTAGGCAGACGTAGCCTTTCATTATTATTATTATTTTTTATCCTTCCAGTAGTCAAAGTCAATTATTATAGTCAGATATATTTATTATTATTATCTTTTCAGTAGTTAAAGTAAATTAATAGTCAGACTTATACTTTTTATTAGTATTATTATGCTTTCAGTAGTTAAAGTAAATTAATAGTCAGAGTTATACTTTTTATTAGAATTATTATGTTTTCAGTAGTCGAAGTAAATTTTTAGTCAGACGTATATTTTTTTATTATTATTATCTTTTCAGTAGTAAAAGTCAATCATTAGACAGACGCAGTATTTTATTATTATTATTATTTTTCAATTAGTTGAAGTAAATTATTAGTAAGACGTATTTATTAATATTATTGTTATTATTATTAATATTAGAATTATTATAATAGCTTAATTTGCAAACTAATTTTTCCGCCCTCTTGTTCTTTTTTTCTCGACAAGTAGAGGCTGAAAATTTTGCGAAACAATGTGAAATAAAATGGCGAGCAACCAAGAACTTAAATGTGTGGAGTACTGTCTAAATATTGAAAGACAAGAGAGCATAGGAAAAAAGGGGAATTGTTTGCGGCGTTGAATTTTAGAAAGACAGTAAAAGGGTCAGCTTGATTGATAAGGGTCTAACGGAAAAGAATGTGTAGAGGATGTTAAGGGATGAAAATTTCAAAAGAAGAGAGTGAGAGAGAGAAAGAACAAGAAAAAATATTCAGAATGGATGGGAGAATCCTCTCCCTCCTTTTTTTCTTCATTTCTTCATCTCTATAAGGAAGAGAAAAAGGGAAGAATAGGAGAGAGAATTGAATGTTAAAAATATGTACTATTTACGTAGTGTAAAAAAGAAGAGAGAAGAAAAGAGAGAGATACAAAAAGGAAGAAAAGAGAGAGAAGAAGAAAGAAGAAAAGAGAGAAAAGAAGAAAGTAGAAAAAAGAGAGAAGAAGAAAGAAGAAAAGAGGGAGAAAAAAGAGAGAGAGAAGAAGAAGAAAGAAGAAAAGAGAGAAAAGAAGAAAGTAGAAAAAAGAGAGAAGAAGAAAGAAGAAAAGAGGGAGAAAAAAGAGAGAAGAAAGAAGAAAGAGGAAAGAAAAGAGGGAGAAAAAAGAGAGAGAGAAGAAAAAGAAAGAAGAAAAGAAAAAAGAAAGGAGGGCGAAAAAAGAGAGAAGAAAGAAGAAAAGAGAGAGATGAAGAAAGGAGAAAGAGGAAAGAAAAGAAGGAGAAAAGAGAGAGAGAGAAGAAGAAGAAAGACGAAAAGAAAAAAGAAAGGAGGGCGAAAAAAGAGAGAAGAAAGAAGAAAAGAGAGAGATGAAGAAAGGAGAAAAGAGAGAAGAAAAGAGGGAGAAAAAAGAGAGTGAGGAAAGAAGAAAAACGATGGAAGAAAACATAGAGAGAGAAAAAGAGAGAATGAAGGAGAGGAAAAGAAGAGAGAACGAGGGAAAGAGAGGGGAGGGGGTAGTTGTTGAACTAGACCCCACAATTTTCGTTTACGGACAAGATAGAAGAGCAGTGTGTCTCTCTAAAAGCTGTGTGGAGTTAAGGTAGAAAGCAGGGGCGGGCATGCCACGTAATACATGTGGGTGGCAAGTGAAGACTATATATAGCGCATTGCGCCACGCGGAGTCGTTTAATGAGCCGGAAAAGTGGCACAGCTCCACCCGCTTCTACAGGAAGCAAGACATTAATGGTGCTGAAGTTTGAGATCTGGAAAAGCGTTCGCTTATTTCCCGCAAGGGAACATGCAAACTTTTCACAGCAAACATCATCCCTTCAACTTCATCATTTCACCATTTACATTTGCATATATATATAATACCCACGCCACATTTATTTTCTATTTAGTTTATGAAAATTGAAATACCTTTATTATTACAAGTAAATTAACCTTTATAATAATTTTTTTTTCTTTATTAATTAAATAAAATACCAACAGAGTATTCTTCTTCTTTCTTCTTTCTCTCTTCGTATTAGTAGCAATGTGTAAAGTAATACTGCATATTAGTAATACACAGTGCTACTAATACTGCGTATTATTAATATAAAGTGCTACTAATACTGCGTACTAGTAATAAAAAGTTCTACTAATACTGCGTATTACTAATACACAGTGCTACTAATACTGCGTATTACTAACCTACAGTGTTACTAATACTGCGTATTTTTAGCAAACAGTGCTACTAATACTGCGTATTATTAACAAAAAGTGCTACTAATACTGCGTCCTAGTAATAAAAAGTACTACTAATACTACGCATTATTAATAAAGAGTGCTACTAATACAGCGTATTATTAATAAAAAGTGCTACTAATACTGCGTATTTATAACACTTATCGTGCGAAAAAAAATGTGTTTCTTTTAAGGACTAAAAGTTCTACTTCTTTTGAATATGAAAAAAAAATGTGAAAGTATTTTTTTTAAACAAATATTTACTCACCTATAATTACAAGTTGAATTCGGGAATTTCTCGTGGGACTTTTAGTGAAATCTACCCTACATCTGTATTCGCCCTCGTCCTTGTCGTCGATATGATTAATATTCAAAGTCGCTGGTTCGGTTGCAGTTCGAAAATATGCACGATCCTTGAGATATTCCTCCTTCCAATGGGGACTTTTCTTCTCCGTATGTTTCCCTCTCATGTCAAAACTAAAAGCAAGAAAAATTTTAACGTTTTTTAATTTTATTTGCTTGTTAAATATAATAAATTTATTTATATACAATTTATTTAATTTACTATAATTATTTTTTTGAATATTCTAATTCGATTGTTAAAAATTATTTTATTAGTCGGAAAATGTTTCTTTGCTTTGTTAGAGTTTACTGACTTTTTTTAAAATTAATAAACAGCAGAGAGCAGACAATTTTTGAATATAAAAACTGCTGATTAGTAATTACTGAATACGAACTAGATTTTATTCGAAAGGATGATTTAATTAAAAAAATGAAATAATAAAAAAATATTCTAACAAACATTGGCAATTGAGGTATGTATTTATAAGCACAGAGAGTATGCCGTACATGCGCTAAGCCTTTCGAGTTTTCTACTCTTTTCGAATTTTTAGTAATCTCTCGTATTGTTCTCCATGTACAATGGCGAATAAACGACGTGAAAGGACCCTCAAGATTCCCTTCGGATTCTCTCTTGCTTTGGGAACGAACGTATATTGTAATTTCCGTTTCATACGATTCCACTGGGAGACTTGAAGCTCAAGGTCTTGAATATTGTTTGAAATTGTAAACGTGGGGGGCTCGGCCAAAAGTCGCTGAGAGAAAGATTATTAGACCGCGATAACGCAGAGGGAAATATTGCGTATAATATCAAAACTCAATTTTAGAAATTCTATTCCACAAACTGTGGAGATATCTAAGCAAATATGTATATATATATATAGTTAAAAAGCGGTATTAAATTAATCTCTTTAATTTTTTTGGAATTTTTAAATAAGAAAAAAATTTGCTTTTATTTTTAAAATATTAGAAAAAATTTTTTAAATGTTTTTGATTCAAAAATGCTAGAAATATTCCATCAGAATACTTTTGAATATTCCACCAGAATACTTTTTAATTTTCCATCAGAATACTTTCAAATATTCCTCTAAAATAGTTCTAAATATTCCACTGAAAATACTTTCAAATATTCTACTGGAATACCTTTAAATATTCCTCTAAGATAGTTTCAAATATTCCACCGGAATACTTTTAAATATTCCTCTAAAATAGTTACAAGTATTCCACTGAAATGCTTTTAAATATTCCACTAGAATACTTTCAAATTTTCCACTAGAATACTTTCAAATTTTCCACTAAAATACTTTCAAATTTTTCACTAGAATACTTTTAAAATATTCACTAGAATACTTTAAAATTTTCCACTAGAATACTTTAAAATTCGACTAAAAAACTTTGAAAAATTACACTGCACTATGTTTGGATATTTTTTTACATCTAAAAATAACGAATAAACAATTCGATTGTCTATTTTTATGATAGGAAATGAAAAATTGTTGCTAATGATAGAACAATATTTGGATAAATATATATAGTTTCCTGAGGGAAAAGGACACTAATTGAGGAAGTAGGATTTCCTCAATAATTATTTCGACGAATACGACACTATCATTAACACTATTGTTTGATAGTAGTAAATTGTCGATATTTGTGAATACTTAATACTCAAATAACATGAATTTCGTTAGAAAACTCCCAAAAGTAAAAAAGAAATTGTCAATAGCGAGCTAATTACATTCTCAGTGTGTTTTAGACAAATTGTCAAAATTTTATTACAAAAATAATAATCAATATTCTGAAAATAAAAACTATTATAAAAATCAAAAGCTGTATTAAAAATAAAAAAAAAAATTATCGTATAAAAACAAAGTTCCCTATTTAAAAAAAAAATTTTATAGAAATAAAAAAAAATAAATTGAAGACAAAAATTAATCAGTGAAAATAAATAAATGAATAAAAAAATAAAAAATACAAAATACAAAAATACAAAAATAGAAAATTAGTATTTTCGGAAATAAAAATTCTAAAATCGAAAACAAAAATAAAAATCACTGGTAAAAACAAAAAATTGAGTACTGCAAAAATAATAATTCTTCCTGAACAGATATAATAATAATTGTCAACTGCTATATGTATTATATCAAGAAAAACAACAAAAAACATTTCAGTGTCTTGAGAAAAAAATAAATAAATAAACAAATAAAGATAAATAAAGAAGCATTTTTTTCCTTCTTATAAAATCAATGACCTTTTTCGAGAGAATGTTGTAGTTTATGGCATGAGATTTACTCGGTAAATCTCAGTAATAAAACTGAACTAAAACACACAGTATTTTCTCTCAGTTCACAATATAGAGCCCCTATTTCGAGAACTTCCTGTAGCAGGATAATGCCACCTATTTTCCTTTATATGTTTTTCTTACAAGTCCTTTTTTTCTTCCTCCCCCGTCTTCATTTCGAGCCTTATCTTTAAAAAATAAAACAAAAAAATTTGCGACTGATTTTACACTTTTGATAAGTTTAAAATTATTTTGATAAGTGTAAATTCATAGTTTGTTAAAATTTTATTCAGATAGATTAAAACATAGTCTTTATATTTGAATTACTAAAAATGTTTACTAATTTGAATTCAGTCGAATTTTTGCTTTTTAAATGTAATAAACTTTACTGAAAAAGTAATTTTTACAAATTTTTTGCTTTTGAATTTAGTAAATTTCACTAATAAATAATACTTTATTTTTTTTGCTCTTGAATTAGTAAATTTTACTAATGACAGTAATTTCTACTAATTATTTTCTTGTCAAATAGTAAATTTTACACTTAAATAGCAACTTCTAATAATTTTTTTGCAATTTAATTAGTAAATTTTACTAATAAATAATAATTTCTATTTTTTGGCTTTTCAATTAGTAAATACTAATAAGTAGACATTGCTACTGCTTTTCTTCTTTTTTTTATAAGTAAATTTTACTAATAAACAGTATCTATTTATTTTTCAATTGGTAAATTTTACTAATAATAATATTTTGCTCTTAAATTAGTAAATTTTACTAAGAAATTATAATTTTTACTTATTATTTTCAATTCAATCAGTCAATTTTTCTAATAAATAGTAATTTCTACTAATTATTATTTTCTTTTGAATTTGTCAAAAAAAAAATAAATAAAATAAAAAAATACATAAATAAATAGTGATAATTAAGAAATAGTGATTTCTATTAATTTTTTTTCTCAATTTCTAAAATTTACTAACAATAATAATTTCTACTACTTGTTTTCTTGTCAAGTAGTAAATTTAACTAATCAATAGTAATTTCTATAAATTTTTTTGTTTTTCAGTTAGTAAATTTTACACTTAAATAGTAACTTCTAATAATTTTTTTTCCTTTTAATTAGTGAATTTTACTAATCAATAGACATTGCTACTATTTTTCTGCTTTTTAATTAGTAAATTTTACTTCTAAAGAGTAATTATATTTTAATTAGTAAATTTTACTAATAAACAGTAATTATTTTTCAATTAGTAAATTTTACTAATAATAGTAATTTCTATTAATAATTTTTTTTCAATTCAGTAAATCTTACAAATAAATAGTAATTTCTATTAACTTTTTTTTCAATTAGTAAATCTTATAAATAAATAGCAAATTTTTACTAATTTTTTGCGTACTAATTAGTACATTTTTCTAATAAATAATATTGTCAACTAATTATTTAAATTTTAATTAGTATATTTTACTAATAATTACTAATTTCTACTTATTTTTTTCCATTAGTTAATTTTTAATTAGTTAATTAGTAATTTCTAATAATTATTGCTTTTAAATTAGTAAATTTTACAAATAAATAGTAATTTCTACTAATTCTTTGCTTTTAGTAAATTTTACTAATAAATAGTAACTTCTACTAATTTTATTTTCTTATTTTCAAAAACATTTCTAAAACATTTTTAAAACTTTACTAAAACATTTTTAAAACATTTAAAAAACTTTTTAAAATAATTTTATTACATTGTTAAGACATCTTTAAAACATTTCTAAAACATTGTTAAGACATTTTCAAAAAATTTCTGAAAAAAATATTTCTGTATAATATATAATTATCTATCTGCATTGTATGAAGGGAAAATTTTCCTTTTTCTTTTTGCGAACAATGCAAAATTCCGAGAGTAAAAATGAAAATATACAACATGAGGGGATTATAGAATGTTTAAAATCCACGACATGTAGGGTATAAGGAGTCGGGGGCAATATGGTTAACATATATGTGCCCAGCCTTCTCGACTATAATCTCGGAATTCTGTCGAGGTAGCGAACTATGCAGGACACCCACTCGCTGCCTCAAACGGGCGCATATCTATGTCCAAGTCTCGAAATGCTTCGGCACAACTCGACGTTGCGCGTTTCATGAAACTATTATCTGACGACATACACACTCACATACAAGAATATGTTAAATTTACCCCTTCTTCCTCCACCCCCTCATGCCTTATCATTATCACACTCTAGATATATAATTATTTCATCTAAAATACACACCGATGTGAATATCTGCAAATACAAAACGATTTTAGATTTTCCAAACTTTCATTTTTTCTCATTTTTACAATCAAATATAAGAATTTAAAGTTAAATTTAAATTTATATTATTTCTAAATTTGAATTAGAAAACATGTTTACTAATTGAGTTTTTGCTTTTGAATTAGTAAATTTGAGTAACAAAATAGTAGAAATTACTATTTGCTACTTAATATAACTTCTTGCGTTTTAATTAGTAAAGTTTACTAACAAATATGTAGAGATTGATATTTATTAGTAAAATTAATTATTAATTAATTAATTAACTATAATAATTTAAATGTTCTTTCAATCATTCACTTTTTCTGTCCCTCATACTCTGAAGCGAGCTCTGAAGTTGTCTTTTGTTTATACTTTTGTTTTTTGTTATCTTTAGATTGATTGTATATTATATTACTAGCTAAACTATCCGCGCGCAAGCGCGCGGGAATGTTGTATCAAACTGCTTATTTTAAACAATTTAAACTCCATTTTATTTAAAAAAATGTTTAAAGAAATAATTATTATTACTTAACAAAAAGTTTGAAATAATTAAAAGTGGAAAAAGTTAACAATTATAGAA